CCTCCTCCTCATCGTTTGTCTCCTCATCTTCCTCCTCCTCCTTCTCCTCCTCGCGCCTCGCGCCGCCGCAGGCGTCGCCTTTCCAGATGTCACTAGGCGGGGACTTCTCCTCCTCCTCCTCCCCCTCCTTCTGCTCGGCCTTCTCCGCATCCAACCGTTGTTTTTCCAGATAACCTCTCTCTGTCGCACCCCGAGACCTTTCGGTAGGAAGGGTTGGACATTGGGACTCATTCACCATGAATGATCCGCAAGTTTGAATGTTGCAGCAGCTCCGCGGATTGAGGACGGGTGTGATTTTATGTTGTTCCAGTTTCAGCGCCGCGTACACTTGTTTTAACAGATGGTCAAGAGTTTCACGGATAGAAGGCGGGCGGTCTTTTTAATGTTGTTCTCGTTTAGCGTTGCGCATGGTTTGTAAGAGGTTCGCGGATGGAGGACCGTCGGACCGTACCTTTTCAACATGTGGTTCTCGCCTCGGCGCCGCGCACATTCGCCATTAGAGTTTACAGCGGTTTCCAGGATTCTTACGGAACGTCCCCGAAACCTTGTTATGGCACAGTCTAGAAACCTCGGGGTCACTATAGAGCGATGAGCGGTGTTCGCGCGCCAGACACCAGACATTGGACACCGGACATCAGACACCAGACATCAGACACCAGACATCAGACACCGGACACCGGACACCGGACACCAGACATGGACACCGGACACAATGGATACCAGACACCAGACACCAGGCATTGGACACCAGACACATTGGATACCAGACACCAGACACTAGACACCGGACACCCGACACCGGACACCGGACACCGGACACCGGACACTCGACATTGGAAACCGGACACCAGACACCAGGCATCGGACACCAGACACAGGACGCCGGATGCCGGACGTTGGATTGGAAACCAGACACTTGGACACCCGATTTGGGGCAGTGAACACGAGACAAAAGCAGCGGACACCAGACATGGGACATGACGCTGATGATGGTGGTGATGATTATGATGGAGGTGGTGGTATTGGTTGTAGGGGTGATGATGGCGGTGATGATGGTGGGGAGGATGTGGGTAATGTCGTTGTTGATGGTGATGATGGTAATCATGGGGATGACAATGATGCAGATGATGTTGACACAGATGATGGTGGTGATGATGATGGTGATGTCGGGGATGGAAACGATGATGGTGTGGCTATGGCGATGATGGCGATGGCGATCATAATGACGACGATGACGGCTGAGGAGAACAGGGAGGAAGGCGATGGGAGTTGGAGGATGGGGGTCTTCCAGGTTCAGTGCAATGGGAGGTTCCCGAAGAGATGTGGTGGTTTGGATGGTTTCGTGGTTTAATGTCCTCTTGCTTTCCATTGTGACCCCTAGTGTGATTGCGGGAATAGCAGCAGTGAGCGCAATCAAACATATACAAATGCAGGCCCGAACGCGTAAGCAGAAGGCCCCCGCTATCCGTCAGGACTTCGTCCCCTGCCGCCTGCCCTCTCCCTATCATAATGGGATATAACAGAGTCGCATCGGTGCGTCTCGGCGCTGCCTTGGCACATCTGGGAACAGCATGCGGGGTTGGATAGGAATCATCAGCGCATATTGAAAAGTTGGCGTTATCGAAGACGCCTACGGCGAATCACCGCCGCCCCCTGCCCCTTTGGAAGCGCCTATGTGGCCGACAGCTGGGCTAGAGCTTGGCCAAGCTATCGGGCCAGTTGTTCCCAGAGTCGGTTTGGAAAGCCTTCGGGGAACGCGTGTGAGAGCAATCGGAGGAGGATCCGGAGAGGGAGGAGGATGATGATCAGGAGGAGGATGAGGATGAGGACGAGGATGAGGATGATTAGGAAGGAGTAGCAGTAGGAGGAGAAGACTTCTTGGGAACCGTCTTGCGAGGCCGCTTGGGAGGCCTCTGAAGAGCTTCCTGGGAGCCTTTTGGAGGCCTCTTGGGAGCCTCTCTGTGCCTCTTGCGGGCTTCTTGGGGGCCTTTGGGGGCTTCTTGGGGGCCTCTTTGGCCGTTTCCGACCCGTCTGACACCCTCGGAAGCCGTCTCGGTGGCTTCTTTGAACCGACTTGGGGCTCTTTTGGGGCGCTTCAGGGCCGTCTTGCAGAGTATCTTGGACGTCTTGAAGATCGCCGTCTTGGGGGCCTCTTGGGTCGTCATGCGGCCATCTTGGAGGTCTCTTGGGCGATCTTGGGGCGACCGTGGGGGTCTCTTGGGCCGTCTTGGACCGTCGGAAGGCCGACAAGGCGCAAATGCCAAAATCCTTCAAACACCGAAGGAAAATCACTGATGTTGGCCTATTCGGGCCTTCCTGGAGGAACTCCTGGAGGCCTCTTGGGCCGTCTGGGAGGCCTCTTAGGGGCCTCTTCGGCAATCTTGAGGCCATCTTGGGCTGTATTGGGTGCATCTTGGGCCGTCTTGAAGGCATCTTGGGGCCATCGTAGCCGTCTTGGAGGCCATCTGGGCCGTCTTGGAGGCCATCTATGGTCATCTTGGAGCCATGTTGAGACCATCTTAGGCCATCTTTGGAGGCCATCTTGGTCGTCTTGGAGGCCTGTTGGGGCCATCTGGGGGCCGTCTTGGGGGCCTCCTGGGCCGTCATGGGGCCATCTTGGAGGCCTCGTGGGCGATCTCGGGGCGATCTTGGGGCCTCTTGGGTCGTCTTGAGCCGTCGGAATGCCGAAAAAGAGCAAATGCCAACATCATTCAACAACCTAAGGAACACCAATGAATTAGATCTCTTCGGGCCCTCCTGGATGACCTCTTGGAGGCCTCTTGGGCCATCTTGGATGCCTCTGTGGAGACTCTTGGGCCGTGCTGGGCCATCTTAGGCTGTTTTTGGTGCATCTTGGGCCGTCTTGGAGGCATCTTCGGGCCATCTGAGCCGTCTTGGAGGCCATCTTGGCCGTCTTGGAGGCCTCTTGGGGCCCTCTTGGTGCCGTCTTGGGGGCCTCTTGGGCTGTCATGTGGCCATCTTGGAGGCCTCGTGGGCGATCTTGGGGCGATCTTTGGGGCCTCTTTGGTCGTCTTGAGCCGTCGGAATGCCGAAAAAGAGCAAATGCCAAAATCCTTCAAAAACCCTAGGACAATCAAGGATGTTTGATCTCTTCGGGCCCTCCTGGATGACCTCTTGGTGGCCTCTTGGGCCGTATTGGAGGCCTCTTGGGCCGTCTTGTTCCGTCGTGAGGCCATCTTAGGCTGTTTTTGGTGCATCTTGTGCTGTCTTGAAGGCATCTTGGGGCCATCTTAGCCGTCTTGGAGGCCATCTTGGTCGTCTTTGAGGCCTCTTGGGGCCCTCTTGTCTTGGAGGCCTCGCGGGTGATCTTGGAGCGATCTTGGGGGCCACTTGGGTCGTCTTGAGCCGTCGGAAGGCCGAAAACGAGCAAAAGCCAAAACCCTGCAAAAAGTCAAGGGAAGTCAATGATTTTGGCCTCTTCGGGCCCTCCTGGAGGACCCCTTGGAGGCCTCTTGGGCCGTCTTAGGCCGTCTTGGAGGCCTGGAAAAACCTTTTGGAACCGGATCTGGGCAATCCTTCCGGAACCCCGGCGGGACGCGCCGGAGGCCCAGGGGGAGCTCTTTTGGAAAAAAACAAAACCAAAACCGACAGGGTCTAGCACGCCAGGCACCCCTGCGATGAATCGACAGGGGCGGCGGATCGAAGACGCCTACGGCGAATCACCACCGCCCTCTGCCTTTTTGGAAGCGCCTATGTGGCCGAACGTTGAGGCCAGACCTGCCAAGCTATCGGACCATGTGTTCCCCGACTCGATTTGGAAAGCGTTCGGGGAACACGTGGGCATCTTGAAGGTCATCTTTGCCGTGTGGAGGCCATTTTGACCATCTTAGTGCCATCTTCGGCCGATCCGACGCTGTCGGAAGCCGTTTGGGGGGCCTCTCTGAGCCGACTTGGGGCACTCTTGGAATGCTCCAGGACCGTCTTGGAGGCCATCTTGGGCGTCTTAAAAGCCTCTTGAGCCGTCTTAGGGGCGTCTTGGGTCGTTCTGGGGCCATCTTGGAAGCATCTTGGGCGATCTTTGGAGGCTCGTGGGCCGTATCGGGACGTCGGAAGGCCGAACAAAAAGCGAATGTCAAAGGCCTTCAAAAAATTTTAGGAACATCAGTGTGTGTGTGTGTTTGGCCTTTTCTGGCCTTCCTGGAGGCTCTCTTGGAGGCATCTTGGGCCGTCTTGGGCCAGCTTCGAGCCAACTTCGGCTCGTCTGACGCCGTCGGAAGCCGTTTGGGGGGCCTTTCTGGGCCGACTTGGGGCCCTCTTGGGGTGCTCCAGGGCCGTCTTAGAGGCCATCTTGGGCGTCTTGGAGGCCTCTTGGGTCGTCTTTGTGCCCTCTTTGGGCCGTCTTGGGGGCCTCTTGGGCAGTCCTGAGGCCATCTTGGAGCGGACACCAGACATCGGACACAATATTCGCACGGACACCAGGCATTGGACACCGGGCATTGGACACCGCATATTGGACCCAAGACTTTGGGCACCGGACGTCGGACACCTGACACCCGGACACCAGACACCAGGCACTGGACACCGCCGGACATCGGACACCGCAAGAATCGTTCATGTATTCTCAGGGCGTAGCAGTCACGTTGATTTGCGGTGTGGGATTGCAGGAAGGGCGTTCTGGCACGATTCAGGATCGACAGGACGCAACAATTTTCTTGATTCGCGGTGGTGAAGTCCCAGGCGCGGTGTTTTGGCAGGGTTCAGGATTTTCACACGGTTGTCTTCCAACGGGGCACATCCCTCAGTGAAGGGAAATCTTTGTAGGGACTTGTGAAGAGGGAACTTGGAGGGAGGGTTTAATACAACATCGTTGATGAGTCTTGGCTTTACGCTGGTCCCCGTCCTCCTCGTCCCCCTTCTCCTTCTTCCGTGGCCGGTTTGGTTACGTAGCCACTTTGGCTCAAGCATTCCCTTGACCTCAGCTTACACATCCACATTCCCCCACACTTGTGCACTCGCCCACTTGCCAGGCCAGCGTCAGAATGGCTCCAGTGTCGCCATTCAAGTTTGTCCTGCTAATGGCTGCTGCGCATGGCGCCTCTGGAATCTCCCTGCGGGAGGTGGTGAAGGAGGTGATGGACGACCTGGCAGTCGATGCAACAGTCGATCCAGCCGGGGTAGCCAACCCCCTCAACCCCTACACCAGGAAGGCCACTTCAAGAATCGCCGCCAACAGCTCGGACGTCCCAGCTCAGATCTCTGCGGCCGTGGACGCCACCGCACCCGGGAATTCGATGAAGTTCCAGAGCGACGTGACAATGGCGGCTGCACTCCTGGGTACGCCGCTTGTTCTCTACCTCCTGCGCACGGACGCGCTGAGGCAGCCGAGCCTGGCGGTGATTCTGGTCGTCACTGGGCTTTACATCTTCGCCAGCCTGGCTATGAACGTGCTCAACAAGAAGGCGGCAAAGGCGTTCGAGGCCACCTGTCTCCTGGTCATCATTCAGATGCTGGTGTTCAGGAGGGCAAAAAACACAGACACAATTAATGGTCGATCCCCCAAAAAATATTATAAAATATGGGAAGTGGGGGGGAAGACGAAAATCAAAAAATATAGAAAAATATGGGGAATCCTTCTATTTGTGTATTTATTTGTGTGTCCCATGGCCCCGTCAGGTGTCCGTTGTCGTGATCATCTGCATGGAGTACGACAAGATGAAGATGGACAAGTGGGCTGACTTCATGAAGTGGCTGGTCGTGCCTTTCGCCTTTGCCGGGATGCTCGGCACATCCATGTTCGCGTTCAAGGAGGCAAGTTTGACTACCATTCTGATCATGCGGAACATCTTGCCGATCCTTACTTTCGGGTTCGAGAAGGCTCTGTTCAACCAGCCGGAGTCGATGTGCTGGAAGGTGGTCACGTCCTTGGTCGTGACCCTGGCCGGCAGCGTGCTCTACGGGTTCGTGGACATCTCCGCGACGAACCTCGGCAAGCTGCTCATCCTCGTGAATTGCGCTTTCACCATCGTGGACCGGCTCGTGCAGGCCAAGCTGCTCAAGGGCAACAAGGATTTCAGCATCAGCATCTCCATGTGCATGCTCCTCAACAACGGCCTGGGGGTGGTCCCCATGCTCGCCCTCGCGCTGGCGAAGGGCGAGGTTCCGGAGGGGAAAAACACACAGACACGAACAATCGTCGACTTCCAGGAAAAGATGGGAAAACATGGGAAGTGGGGGGGGGGGGTGACGAAATCAAAGAAAACATGGGACAAATGTGGGGAATCTTGGGATCTGTGTCTATCGAGGTGGCACACTGGGGCCACGCCCTCGCGACCGCGGACAGGAACGCGTGGTTCCTGGTGATGATGTCGGGGCTGTGCGGCGCGTCGCTGGGGTACGTGGGCCTTCGCACGCAGCAGCTCGTCTCGGGCACCACGGTGCTCGTGATGCAGAACTTCAACAAGCTGCTGATCATAGCGCTCGGCATGTTCGTCTTCCACGAGCACCTCACGCCGATGTCATTCCTGGGGTGCTTCGTCTCCCTCCTGGGTTGCTTTGGCTACGGCTACCTGCGCCTGCCGTCTGAGGCCAAGGCGCCAGGATCCAAGAAGTGATGCTGGCGAGGCCAAGCGGGGCGGCCGCCGCCGCGCGAGGCGTGCCCCCCGCCCCCCATCGCCCCTCCCCCTCGCAGGCGATGATTATCCGCCAGCCCCCGAGTTCCGCCCGAAAAGTGTAGCCTCTCAGAACCAGAGGGGGAAGCACTGGGACACACCCCAGGGGGGCCTCTTTCGGACGCACCCCTGTCGAGGATGGACGCCCCCCCCTTCGTATGTCCCAGGGTTGGGCCCCACATGTTTGGTCCATTCGGAAGCCCCACGAAGCCTGGGATAGGGGTCGACATATCCTCTGTTACCCCCCCACCGTTGGGGCGGCCCTTCTGCAGCAGTTCCCAGAGCGCGCGGGCCAGGCAGCCTCGCCCGCCTGCGGCTCCTCCCTCCTGCTCCTCCTCCTCCTCCTCCGTCTCCTCCTCCTCCTCCTCCTCCTCCTCCTCCTCCTCCTTCCTCCTCCTCCTTCTCATCCTTGTCCATCTCCTCCTTGTCCTCCATCTCCTTATCCTCCTCCTCCTCCTCCTCCTCCTCCTCCTCCTCCTCCTCCTCCTCCTTCTCGTCCATCTCCTCCTCCTCGTCCATCTCCTCCTCCTCCTCCTTCTCCTCGTTATCCTCCTACTCCTTCCCCTCCTCCTCCTCCTCATCCTCATCCTCATCCTCCTCCTCCTTATCCTCTTCCTCATCCTCTTCCTCCTTCTCCTCCTCCTTCTCCTCCTCCTCCTCCTCCTTCTCCTCAGCCTCCTTCTCGTCACGCTCATCCTCCTCTTCCGCCTCATCCTTCTCCTCCTCCTCATCGTCCTCGCGCCTCGCGCCGCCGCCGGCGTCGCCTTTCAGGGCCCCCTAGACGGGGACTTCGGGGGCAACGATAGGAGGGGGGCATGGGACTAGGAGGGTAAACATCGTCTAGGAATGGGCGATGCATTGCCGATGGACCTGCGACAGGCCCCCGACAGCGGTTCCGAACGGCCATGGGCGAGGCGATCGCGCGCGCGCCACGCCTCGCCGCCTCGCGCGCCGCCGCCGTCGTCACGTTGACAGGACCCCCCAGATGGGGACTCCTCCCTCTCCCAGTCCATTTTCCTCTTCTTCCATCTCCTCCTCCTCCTCCTCCTCCTCCTCCTCCTCCTCCTCCTCCTCCTCCTCCTCCTCTTCCCGCCTCGCTCCTCGCGCCGCCGCAGGCGTCGCCTATTGAAAGGCCCCCTGGACTGGGACTTCTCCTCCTCCTCTCCCTCCTCGTCGTCCTCCATCTTTTCCTTGTCAGCCGTTCTGGCTCAGGCTGTTGTGGCCTGAGCTTGCAAGCGCGTTCTTCAGAGCGGCTCGCGCTTGTGAGCCATCCTTTCTTTCTTTCACGGAGAGGAGCCAGCGACCGCACCTCGAGCGGCGCATGGTTCCACAGCCCGATGTGCTGCCAGGCGCGCGCACCCCCTACTGGGGGTGCTCCTGCGGCTGCTGGAACAACTGGGCGAATCGAGTCAAGTGCAGGAGCTGCGGGGCATCGGCACCTGCGAAGGTGGTCCAGGCGGCGCGCAGGGCTGCCGCGGCTGCCAAGAGCCCCTCGGTCTCGGTCAAGCAACGTGCTCAGGGCGCCTGGGCCGACGGGCCGCCTGGAGGGGCAGTCGCGGCCGAGCAGGCGAGGCTCATCCAGGAGTTGCGTGTCAAGGTGGCGGAGCTCAGCGGCAAGCCTGCGCCGCCAGCGCCCCCTTGGCACCAGCAGCCTGCGGGCGCCAAGGCGAAGGGCAGTGGCAAGGGGCAGGGCCCAGCTGGAGGCGGTCCGCCGAAGGCCAAGGGCGAGGCGCCAGCGGCTGCTGCAGGGCTCTCGCATGAGCTGGTGGCGGAGTTCCTCAAGAGTGAGGGCCTCGAGGACGCCCATGCTGCGGTCTTGGCGGCCGCGCAGACCAAGGCTGTGGCGCCGCCCAAGCCGCCCACCACCATGTCGGCCTGGTGGAAGGTGGAGAACCTCAAGAAGAAGATCCAGAAGGCAGAGGCCCGCTGCGTCGACATCAACGAGCAGAGGGCAGCCCTCGATGAGGAGCTGGACGGCATCCAGAAGGGGATCGACCAGGCCAAGGCGGACCTCGCCGCAGCCCGAGGTGTGCTGGCGAAGCTCCAGGCAGGAGAGCACGAGAACCCCCTCAAGGTGCTCACGGCGGGGCTGGAGCCTGCGGTGCTGTCCACGCAGGAAGGCAAGGACGCCCTTGCTGTCCTTGAAGAGCTCCAGCGCAAGGCGGCTGCGGATGCGGAGGCAGCCAAGCAGGCAGCCGAGGATGAGGACGTGCGCCCAGGCCCTCCTGGCGATCATGGTGCTGATGCTGGGGGTCAGGCAGAGGATGCCCCTGGGGATGGTGGCGAGCACCAGGCCGTCCCCATGGACGAGTCCGACTTCCTGGAGGCTGACTTCCAGGAGTCCCTCAAGCGTGCCATGGACGGCGAGGGGGACACGTCTGCAGCCGTGGCCAAGCTGCTCGCCGAGCACACGGCCAAGAAGGCGCGGCGAGGGTGACGGCCGAGTGCGGGTTGATGCAGACCCAGTGGCGACCAGTGCTCCCGTGCCAGCGGCGAGGGCGGGCCTCGGCATGGCCGACCTCGACGCGTTCGCAAGGGGCAACATGATCGACTTCGACTGGGAGCAGGCGACGGGGTTCGCAGTCCCAGTGCTGAGGGACGACCTCGTCTTCGACACGGAGCTGTTCCGCCAGTTCGACGGGGTCGGTCTGGACCCACGGCAGTGGCCTCGCCTGGGCCACGAAGCTTCGGACAGAGACGGACGGTCTCGCGGAGCTGCCCCCCCCCGGGTCGAGGACCCTCGAAGAGGGTCAGGGCCAGGGACATCGCCTTCTGGGTCGACCTCGACCCCGACAGCATCACTTTCTCTTATGTCGCGCGAGGCGGGACCCCTTGGTCGCAACGGGGCTGGGGGCCTTCCCCGCGAGTCCACATCTCCTACGGGTACCACCTCGGGGTCGGCGGCTCCCGAGTCTTCGGGCACCGCGTCGGGAGGAAGTACCAGGACGTCTGGAGGCGCACCTGTTCATGGGCTTGGTGAGTTGCAGGCTTGCGTCGCATCTGGAAGCGATGGGCCTTGTGTTCTCGGTGGAGGCCTGGGCGATTTCATGGAAGGATGTGGCGGTCTGCCTCCACCTGCGGTAGGGGCAGCGGAGTGTCAAGCTAGCCCTGATGGTGCCCAAGGAGACTTGCCCTCTGAGCGGAAAGGGCTACACCATCTCTCGTCCCCACCTGGCGATGGACGCGTAAAGGGAAAACTATGTCAGGACGGAGTGGCTCGCGGAGTCGGCCACTCGGTCACGATCGTCAGCGATCTGATCATTTTTGGAGTGAATGCGAACACGTGGGACTCGTTCACTAATGTGGTTGACTGGTGTAGGGACCAAGAAGCGAACCTCTTCGGGGTGGAGTCGGCTTCAGGCGAACCAGTCAAGCCGCATGTGATCTGCGTACAAGAGACTCGGCTGAAGGAGAAGGGTAAGTTGGACTCCGCCTATGGCTGGGGTGATCGCCGCTCCTCCGCGTTTTCTCTAGGACCAGCAGCGTCTACAGGGCCAGGTCCGACGCAGTCCTCGGCAGGAGTAGGCTTGGCAGTGGCCAGCTTTCTGGCGTCTTCTAGTGTGCCAAGGCCACCCGAGTTGGAACCTTTCAAGTCGCGAGTGGCAAGCAGGCACATCAACGTAGGACTTCCAGGCGGGTTGATGGTCTTCTTGGTCTACCTCTACACCAGCATTGGAGTCGCAGGGGAGAATGTTGAGTTATTGAACACTCTCGGAGAGTACATCAAGTCCCTCACCTGCCTCTGGATTGTGCAAGGGGACTGGAACCTCACTCCTGAAGAACTCGAAGCATCGGAATGGGTGTCCAAGGTTGGGGGATGTATGTTTACGACGGGCCACGCTACGTGTCGATCAGGGCCCGCTCCAGGATCCAGTTCAGGGCCCGAGGAGGAGGTCGACAGGAAGGATGAGCGGGAGATCGATTTCTTCGTGGGGTCCAGGTGTTTAGGGCACTGCGTCAAGGAGGTCCTGGTGTTCCCTGCAGCCCCCTCGTGGCCTCATATGCCTGTGGGTATCGTTGTCAAGAACCTGGCCCCGTCGACGGTCGTCCCGAAGCAGGTCAGATACGCGCAGTTCCCCTTGGGCAAGCTCGTGGGTCCTCGGAGGCTCCCTACGGAAGGCACGTGGTCTTGGGAAGTTGGAGGAGGCTCGCACTGTTTGGGGTCCATGGTCAGGGAATGGTTCACCCAGGCTGAGGGCCGGCTCGTGCAGTTCCACGACCTAGACAGTGCTAGCGCGGCCAGGACGCGTGGAAGAGCTGGGGGCCCTAAGGTCACAAAGATTCCCCTGGAGACGGTTTGGGACCGAGAGTCTAGGAGAAGATATTCAAAGCGGACCACCAGTTGGATGTCCTTCGAGGCGTTGGCTCGTCGAGCAGCTGCAGCTGGCCAAGATATGCTAGGCGCCAGAGCTCGCGGTCTTTTTCATGAATGGTGCGCCGCCCTGTTCGGGATGATCTCGGCGCTGGAGGCGCCAGACGAAGGCACGAATGTCCGATTTTTGGTCAGCCTAGTTGAAGGGATATCCATGGGGCTCAGAGATGAGTTAGAAGGGATGTTCGGGCAGTTACGAGAGCATGTAGAAGGCCTGCGAAAGTCGGACGCCAAGGAGCCCCTTATCGCAGTGGAAGGAGTGGGCTAAGTCGTCAGTGCAGCGGGGAGGGAAGGCAGCGCATGCTTATTCCAGGGTCTCTCGCGCAGACAGGACGGTCCCGTTCAGTGTCGTAGACGACCACGGCCGCTTACCAGTCAACGGTGAGCTTGCGCTCCTCCAGCTTCTAGATCAGTGGCTTCCCCTCTGGCACAAAGAAGGCAGGCTCAGCAAAAATCACCCAGCTCATTGGGACGTGTTGGGACAAGAATTGCCACCTATCTCTCTGGAGCAGTTGAGGCGTGTGTGCAACTCGTATGGGGAAGGGGCTGGTCTTGGG